GGTTGCAACCTGGATGAGTTCAAAAGCTCCCCGTCCTTCCCATTCTAACTACTTATCTTTAAGTTGCTTCTTTATATCTGTGAGAGGATCTTCACCTACGATGGAAATCAAAAGACTGCCATGTTATAGATTTAGAGCTTTGTCTTTGGAATATTTGTTGTTGTTGTTTGTTTGTTTTTCCTTTGCATACATTTAGCTTAGTGGGGTTTAAAGTAGACTATAGGTCTGATATCTTCCAGAATTTGGCAAGGTTTTCCATTAATTTTAATTTTATTTTCCCCTCTGGTAACAGTTTACCAGGGAATCCCTTGGAGTCCCATAAACTCTGAGCAGCTCATATGGGAGGGTAGATATGGGCTTGTCTGTTAGGCCACTAACTCGGCCACTTAGTTAGGCCACTGACTTGGACGTTTGTTTATGGTCTTGTAGTTTCTTCAAAGTGGAAAAGCAATTCAGATAGAGGATTCATAGACTCTGAATATTCAGGTAAAGGAGGATAGAGGAGTGTAGCAGGAGTCATGTAAGTCTGAGTCTTTTGTTGTAGGTACCTCTTGTGTCTTTAGTTTTTTTTAGCCTTTTGCAGTGAATCTTTCAGTGAAGCTACTTTGGAGTACTGAAGGCTTTTGGAGCTTTCTGCATGCCAGTTGAAGTAGGTATCCCATACTGTTTGTTTGATTTGGCAGCCATTCCTTTCAAGTGTCCTTTTTAGATGAAAGATCTTGTCTAGTGAGAACATTCCCTATAACGGTAATTATAATCCTAGGTTGTCTCAGTAAGATTCTGCCATTTTGATAAATATCTACAGCTTCCAGGACCACAGTTCTTAGATATAAAAGGATGCAGTTGTGCCAGACACTGGCATGCTGAATTCTTTGAAACTTGAGGACCCTGTTTCTTTACCTAAGACTTATCAAGTCTCTCCTAAGACAAATTAGTACCCAAGAGAAATGTGCCACTGAGTTGGTGATTGTGTGGTGTTTTACACTGTGCCTCATGGCATGGAAATTTTCATGAGGTTGGCCAGCAACTTACTGTCAATCCAACCTATTCCATGACCAACTTATTCTAGCACAGGAGCCTTAGAGTTTGGTGGCAAGTGCTATAATAGTTTTTATGTGCTCGATCCATGCCCACCAATTTTGTGGCTTTGGCTTCCAAGATTCCCACTAACAATAGATTTATTATTCCTTTACGTCATGTACCCATCCATAGGAATCAACAGTTAACAAGGAAACAGAGCTGTGCACACCAGCAGCAGCCCAGGAGATGGTCTTGCGGACTGGCCAAGAGAAGGCCTTAGGTGCTCACAACCAGTAGTTCCCAAAGTGGAACTACGGACTAAACGAGCAGAACCCAGCAAATGGGGACTGTGGGCCAACCAAAGGCTGGGGACTCAGGTTCTGGCTGGAACTGTCTGCCAGCTGAAGCCCTGGGCCAGGATCACACACTAACCAGTGGCTAAGGACTCACGCTGAGTTAGAGCCACCTGTCAGTCTAGACTGACTCCTTAACCGTGGACTGCAATGCCAGTTCGATCAGGAGCTCAACACACAGACAGCAGAGCTTAGTTCTAAGAGGAACTTACCCACGGCCCTTGGAGACAGCAAAAAAAAAAAAGAAACAGAGCTCAAAATGTTCACAGGTACCAATGCCTGCATTTCTTCTTGTCCTTAAAGCTGTCAGAAGTCTCCAGATCCCATCAATGCCACTAAACTGTTTTAAAAAAATTCAACTGAATACATTTAAAAATCTTATTGGCTTTATGTAATGATTCTTGAGTCAGGTAGCATCCAGTCTAGCAGATAGAAAGGAGCTCCGGGGAGCTGTATGAAATGAAAGACTTTTATAGGCAGAAGGGAACGGGAACAAGGAAGTTACACTAGACAAAAAAAGCTGGTTATCACAAGGTCAGTTTCCTTTGGGGGGTAGTAGGGGTCTATCAGGACGTTACCTAACTAGTGCTTACCTAGGACGTTACCTAACTAGTGTGGAGCTTAGCATAAGCAACTCCATTTGAGCTTGTTGTTTTTACAATCTGGTAGTGAGTAAAGATCACAATCCATTTGACTTAATTCTTTGAAGTTCAGTGATTCAACTTGCATTTGTTGAGACTCTGCCACATCCCTGGCACATTATTAGTCATTGGGAAAATAACAGAAAGTGTTTTAGTCACACGTTCTGCTCTCAAGGAACTTACAGACTCACTTGAGGGAGAAGACTTACACAGTTAACAGTAGCAAACATAAAACAGTATGCATTTGTGGGACAGGCAGGATCATTTTTCCTCTACCCTTGGAAGTTCTTGGCTGAGACACCCCCTGTAATAAAAGACAGATTAAGAGGAGAAAAACAAGGAGAAGTTTAATAACATGTATACCTCCTGTATACATGGGAGATAAACTGAGTAACTCCTCTAAATGGCCCAAGTCACGGCCTTAAATACCATCTCCAGCTAAAGACAAAAGATGTTGGGGGAGGGGGAGGCCACTTATTGGAGGGGACCAGGAAAAGCACAGTAAACAAAGGTGAAGTTGTGCAGATTTAAGTCATTGCCTTCTCCACTGATAAGAGTTTCTGGAGCTTTAGAGTCAGCCTTCTCTTCTTGGTACAGAGAGGGGTCTGTAACTTTTACAAATAGAGATGTCCCTTATAAATGTCAACGTCTCTTATGAAAGGATAAGCTTTCAGAGCATCTTCTATGGATGCCAAAACTCGGCTTCTTTGCACTGGTGCCATAGCAAATCTCGGAGACAGAGTTTTGGGTGAAGTAGAAAAGAATAGCTTTATTGCTTTGCCAGGCAGAGGGGGGGGACACAGTGGGCTTGTGCCCTCAAAAACTGTGTGTCTCAACCCGGGAGGATTTGGTGAGGAGTTTTATAGCATTGGTTCAAGGGTGGGGTTGTTGATAAGCATCAGGGTGTGTTCAGGGCCTGCACTCCTTTAATCTGGCCTCAGGTGGTCTCTTGAAGAGCTTCTGTGGTTCTCAAGGTCATCAAACTGTGACCTTCCCTGGAATGAAGAATGCTTCATCAGCTAGTTAACATCTTCCATTTGTTGGGGGTATTAATTCTGTAGAAGAGCTCAAAGATATTGTTATGTGTATCCCTTGAGGCAGGACCAGGATCCTGTCTCAAGGCTGCACTATTGTTTCTTGACTGTTCCTCCCTTGTCTCTGCATCCCCTCCCTTCCGTAATTAGCAACTGTTTGAACCTGCCCCTTGGAACTCAGGGAAGGACATGGAAGCTGAAGCCCATTCTGTACAAACAAGAAACGAGGGACACAGAAATGCTTCTGTCCCCAGGAGTCCCACTCGGTCCTGCTCAGTTTCACTATGTCTGCTCTTTCTTAAAAATAACCAGCTGAAAATAATCAGTATGCCAAAGAGGCATATTTTGAGGTGGTATGTTTTGCTCCCCTTCACTGTTAGGAGGAATCGGGGCCAATGGAAAGAGTATCCAGCCAGGAATCAGGTGTTTCCTTTTCTAACTCACTCAGTCCTGGTTCATTGTGTGACCATGCTGGGGAAAGATTACTAAAACAAGATCTTCTGCCAACCCACAAAACCTCTCTGCAAAAAGTAGAAGAGGAAGAATACAGATTTATTACTAAATAAGCATTAAACTAGAATGTGATGCACAGTGCAGGCACTCCACTAAAGAAGAGACCGAAAGCGGATAAACAATGACTCATCCTCAAACAGCAGGCTTGACAGCACCATTTGTCCTGCATAGGTTATCCTAAATTCATTTGGTAATTGGAGTGACCATATGTGTTAGCTAGTATGATTTATTCAAAGGAAAAATCAAACGACAGTAGGTCATTTTGAAACAAGGCACCTGCCAAATCAGGCTCTGACCCTCTCACAGAAAATGCGAGATACAGGTGCTGTCTTCCTTAATGATGACATTTCAAAGAGATGGTTCCTAGGTCCTTGAGAAAGACACTCCTGGGTCATAAAAGTGGTAAGAGGCTGATTTAGCTTTTAGTAAGATTTATATGCATTTCAAAGAAACAGAGATAGAGCCAACAAATTTTCTAAAGTAGATGCTGAAAGAAGAAGCAGGTGAAGCCTCTTCCCTTATTTTCAACAGGAAGAACTGAGCCTCTTATTTTTAATTCATATTTGCTCTTACAATCTTTCTGGTCACTTCATTTTTGGCCACTTTTTCCTCTAGTGTAGAAAAAAGGGGGAGATCTATATCAGCATTCATAAACTACCTGCCCACCAAGTTTGAGAACTAGTGAAGTACCACAAGGAAGAGCTTCTGAAGTCTTGTCCCTTCTTGTTGTAGACTTAATAATAATAATAATAACAGCAACACTAATAATAATAAAAATGGCAGCCTTTGAAGGCAGAAAATTTTAGGTCCAAGACTGAGATCCTCACAACTAAAAATGTGACCCAGGAAAAAATATTTTCCTAATTTCCAATTACCTCACCTGTAAGTAGAGATTGAGATAGAGGTGGGTTTTTTTTTTTTTTTTTTGAGATAGAGGTTTAAATAAAGTTACTGTAAGGATGAAATAAGGTAGTGTCAATTTACCTCCCTTCCTTATTAAGGGGATCACTATTTCATGATATGCAGTCTATATATTAATGGGAATGATAAGCAGTTTTGCTTATTCACCCTGAATTGAAGCTTTGAATGCTAAATATGTCTGTCAGAATGTAATACTCCTTTTTTTTTTTTTGATGTTTTGGGTAGTTCCTTTATTTATTTATTTATTTTAAAATTTTTAATTGAAGTATAGTTGATTTACAACATCAGGTAAGTTTCAGGTATACAGCACAGCGATTCAGATTCTTTTCCCTTATAGGTCAGAATGCAACACTCTTTATCCATGGCTGAGGTCAGTGTTTCACCAAAGTGTGGGACTCATATCACCTGTCATCCATGTGGTCCAGGTGACCCATTTAATAACATTGAATCACATGGTGGGGTGTTATTCATTGCTCAGAATTGTTCAGAATAGTTAAATACATTAAAAACTTACTTTGGTGCTTGCTTCAGCAGCACATATAATAAAATTGGAACGATACAGAGAGGATTAGCATGGCCCCTGCACAAGGATGACATGCAAATTTGTGAAATGTTTCATATTTTTAGAAGATGTGGTATGTATATACAATGGAATATTACTCAGCCGTAAATAAAGAGTGAAATAATGCCATCTGCAGCAACATGGATGGACCTAGAGATTGTCATACTGAGTGAAGTAAGTCAGATAGAGAAAGACAAATATCATGTGATATCACTTATATGTGGAATCTAAAAAAAGGGTACAAATGATCTTAGCTACAAAACAGAAATAGAGTTACAGATGTAGAAAACAAACTATGGTTACCAGGGGGTAAGGGGTGGGAGGGATAACTTGGGAGATTGGGATTGACATATACACACTACTATATATAAAATAGATAACTAATAAGGACCTACTGTATAGCAGAGGGAACTCTACTCAGTACTCTGTAATGACTTATATGGGAAAAGAATCTAAAAAAGAGTGGTTATAGGTATATATATGACTGATTCACTTTGCTCTACACCTGAAGCTAACATAACATTGTAAATCAACTATACTCCAATAAAAATTTTTTAAAAACCTCTTACTTTGGTTTAAAATGCCTAAAATACATCTCAAAAATGTCTAATGCCCCCTCCTCTTTCAATAAAGCCTTTGACAAGCAACTATGTTTTTCTAGAACTTAATATTTGTTTAGTTTTTCCTCAATTTATTTTTGCACTTTCCTTCTAAAGACAAATGGTGCTAGGTTTTCAAGTATGATAGTAATAAAAAGATTCTTTTTTAGTACGTTTAAGTAAAAAAAATGAGTTTATTTAAAGAAATATTTAAAATAGAATGAGTGGGTTCTACACAGTTATGACCAGTGTAGACATGCCTGAAAATCAGCATTTCCCATACTTCAGGGATGGTAAACAGAAACCGTAGCTTTAGACTCTCACAATCAAACAGGAAGATGAGTAGATGGAAAGTCTGAAAACAGAAGCCAGAGCCAATCTTGTCATGGCATAAATGTGAGTACTTTATATTCTGGCTGAAAGGCCAGGGTCAGTATATAGAAAATTTAGTAGAACTTTCTATGAAAGAGAGCTGGATGACATTGTATAAAAATGTTTATTAACCTTTTCAAACCACATGTATGCTGCTTTTTTTTCTTTCTTTTTTTTCTTTTTTCTTTTTTTTGCGGTACGAGGGCCTCTCACTGTTGTGGCCTCTCCCACTGCGGAGCACAGGCTCCGGACGCGCAGGCTCAGCGGCCATGGCTCACGGGCCCGGCCGCTCCGCGGCACGCGGGATCCTCCCGGACTGGGGCACGAACCCGTGCCCCCTGCATCGGCAGGCGGACTCTCAACCACTGCGCCACCAGGGAAGCCCACGTGTATGCTTCTTTAAATGCATTGATACAATTCTGGTGTACAGAACAAGAAGATCATGGTCCTGCTGATCAAGGCATTTTGTAAAACTCTGATAAACTCAGTTTGAGAGGGATATTAACAAAATAAAGCATATCCAAATAAGTAGGAGAAGTATGATAAAGATTTTGAAACCTGTATCATGAGAGCTGAGGCTGAAGAACCTAAGAAAATTAATTCTGATGAACATGGATAGTGAAATCCTCTTTGTACTTCTCAACGTGGGTCACACGAAAAAGGAGCCAGACAGATGAGGACTTGCTAACAAATAATGTCCAACAGTAGAATCAGCATCCACTTTGGGTAGTGAGAGCTCCATCACCAGAGGTAATCAAACAGGTTAGGCAGTAGCTGACGAGTGTGCAGTCACAGATGTGTGCAGTTCTGGGGAGGTGAACATAACACCTTGTTTGGGGTGTGTTGTGTTGAGGGGCAGGGTTAGAAAGGGAGTTATTAAGTGAAAAATAACTGCTATGTTTAGGCTATCTACCAGTATTTTGGACCACATGTTTCAGTGTATGAAGAACTTTTAAAATTTACTTTTAAATGTGTAGAATCGCTTAATTCCCACCCCAAACAACAACAACAACAAAATCTTCATATAACATTGATGCTTCAGAATCATGCCTCTCATCCAGGGTCTTCAAAGACCAGAAGGAAAGCTAGGAGCACATGCCAGTCTGCAAAGTGCAATGGCAGAGATATGTGTAGGGGAAGATGGACCCAGAGCATGTTTTGCGGTAATTATGGGCTCCGCTGACAGCCAGCTCGCTTTTCCTTCGTGTTTTCATGCCTTCCACAAGCCGACTTTGGGGCTTCAGGTGAAAAACGCCCAGCCCCTGTAGCTTCCGGCTTAGAACTTTGAACATTTGAAGGTTGCAAAATGTGACTCTAACCAGGAGATGGCAGCATCTACCTAGAGATGCGCCAAGCAGCGGCTGCTGCCTCACAGCACCGTGGAATGTGTTCAAGGAACACTAGAGGGCGCTACGTTCCCACTGCTGGTCAGAGATGGGGCTGGTTCAGAGCACCTCGTAGGGAACAGCCCTCCCCAAGTCTCCACCCTACACCTATTCACAGAGAGGGTCCTGTGGCTGTCTGCATAGGTGTGACTCACTCTCTCTCTCTCTCTCTCTCTCTCTCTCTCTCTCTCTCTCTCTCTCTCTCTCTCTCTCACACACACACACACACACACACACACACACACACACACACACACACTCAATTTCCAAGCTGATACAGGACCAGTGAGCTACCAAATCTCAAGGTTCAGAGGCAGCTGTCATCTCTTCTTTACCTACTCTTTTACACTTTGGCAGTCATGGGAAGTGTTCTACATTAAATACCTATTTCAGTGGCAGGATTTATTAGACTCCCAGGGCACCAGATGGACAGAAGTTGTATCCAGTAGGAAACAACAGCAAATAAGGAGCTAGGACTCTCTGCGTGCTTCTATGCAGTGAATGTATGTAACCAATGAGATTTTAAACATACATACAGTTTAATTTTGTGAGAGAAGTAACTGTATCCCCCCCTTTACACTTTGGGCAGCTGATTCTCAGTGTTGTTTCTTACTCACTTCTGCATTGTCATAAACTACCTAGTGGTGGAAAAGAGGTTCAAGCCCAAATTTACCTGATTGCAAACACTGTTCTTTCTACAGCCTCTTTCTAGTTTCCCCTGCAACACGGGGACAACAAGAGATATTCAATCCCCTGAAAGGAATTTAGTGTCACTTATGATTGTTTTCCCTTTTCCAAATAGAATGCAGTTGAATTAAACAAAGACTTTTTGGTCAGATCCTACTCTGGGCCATACCTCTCCAGGGCCCTCAGCGATTTCTTAGTCTGTAGGCTGAAGAGGAGATGTTTAAGGGGGGAGCATAGCACCTGTATTCAAATATGCAAACATGCAGGGGATGTTTTGGGAGCTCTCGGTGATCAGATGTAAGCCTATAAACAGAAAATAGAAATAGAGGCAGAGTGTATCTCATTTAAAGGAAAACACTGGCACACGTACCACTGTCCTGCAGTGGAATGGGTGACCTGGTGAGGGCATCAGTAAACACTTGATGGACTGATGAGACACACAAGCAGAAAATTCTTCCCACGCATGGCATGTGCTAAACCAAAGCTGGGAGCACAATAACGGCTGAGGCAGGCTCTGTGCTTGCTTTGTTGAGCCTTCAGTCAGATGGGAAAACAGGTATTACAACCATAAGGGTGTGAAAGGTACTATAATAGGAGAAAGAAGAGAGTGCTAGGGAGCCTGGCAGAGAAGCACCTGATCCCATCTCAGGGGAGTTGGAGAAGAATCCCCACAGAAAGGTTGTCTAATTAGAGACCTGAATAGCAAATAGGAGCTAGTTGGATAAAGGGAATGGGAGAAAGAGAAATTTCCTATGGAAATAACCCACCTTCCCCAAAACAAAGGTTCCTGTGACTTCCTATATGTATGTGAACCTTTCTAAAACACCTAGAAAAATGTCTTATTTCATCTTTTATCTACTGCTATCCAACAGACCACCTCAAAATGTTGTGTCTTGAAACCATGACTGTTTGTTTGCTTGTGGTTCTGCCGTTTGGGCTGGGCTCAGCTGGGTGGTTCTTCTCTTGGTTTGTTTGCCATCCATCATGGGGCTGCTGTCACCTGTTAGCTCAGCCTGGGTGGGCTGGTGGCATTTGGTGTTAGCATTCTCTGGGGGTACTTTGGATCTTCTCCACATGGCTTTATATTCTCCAATAGGAACGACTGAATTTTTTAATATTGTGGGCTCAGGCCAGCATTTCCAAAGAGCAAAAGAGGACATTTCAAGGCATCTTGGGAACTGGTTGTAGAATTAACATAGTGTCACTTCCACCACATTGTATTGTTCAAAGCAAATTTAAGACTAAAGAATGAGTAACTAGAATTCTATTTTTGTGATCATGTTTTTCAACCGACCAGTATCATGCTGAGAAAACCCAAAGTAGAGTCGATTAAAGGTGAATCCAGAAACGTGAAGTTTGAGCTCAGTCTTTAACGATAAGATTTTATTAAGCAGAACAGAAGAGAGCACAGCATAGCAGGGGGAGGCTGGAGAGCATGGCTGGACTGTTTGGAGAAGTTCACAGGGTTGGGTATCAGAGTCAGGGGAGTAATTGCAGGAAAAGACACAGCCTGAGAAAAGCATCCTCACCTCTCAGCAGTATCCCACAGTGCACTGGGATGCCTATGGAGTGATCATACAGGGCCCTGTATGATCAAGGTAGGAGCTCAGCAAGATAACATTTACATAAGGAGATTTAGACCATAAGTCTTGTTTTTGTACATCTGAAGTGTCATTTCACAGACCCTGCATGAAGCAGCCTCAGAATTATTTCATTCCTATCGATTTGGTTGGAACCTTAATTACTAGGACTTGCTGGGTCTCCTAGTTCGATTATTTCTGTGAGTCCTGCCTGCTTTGGTCATGTTACTTCCCTAGGAGTAGAGAAGAAATGCTGTTTTCTTAGCTGGCTGCAAAAACTCCATTGGGTTTCCTCGTGGACACAAACCCAGTGAGTCTGAGGACCATTAGGAAAGCACATGGACTTCAGCACGTGAGGGCAGAAGCCATCTAAACCGACACACACCTGCTGACAGTAGGATCTCCACAGGATTCCCCCCTACCCCCCCATTTATCTTTAA